TCCTTCTCAGGAGGATTTGTCTGCATCTTGTAGTCAACCAACGCATCTACTGCGAACATAGCAGCGGATAAGTCCTTCACCCCTTACCGACGAAGTTCAGCCTGCGCCTAAGTTTGAACGCCAGACATGAAATTGAACAGCTTATCTTCCTCCGACATATTTTTGATATCCAGCATCAGAGACTAGAATTGCTTCACGTACTCCCTCACAGTACTCGTATGTCAAAGTTTTCTCAATGCATCACGGGCTTGCCAAGCCGTGTTGCTTGGAAGGAATTGCTCCTTCATTTCAGCGGACAGAGACTCCCAAGTCGTAATTGGAGAAAAAGACTTGTCCTCAGATCGTGTTCGCCACCATAATTTAGCATCACCAGACAGATACATGCTAGTGAGATCAACCTTTTCAGCATCTGGTGTACGAACTGCTTTAAAGTAGTGCCCCATATCCCACAGAAAATTCTCGAGTTCTTTAGCGTTACGACTGTCGGTGAAAGGCTTAAGGTCAGGCACCTTAGCTTTCTGAGTGCTTTCACTGCCAGAAGCCAAAGAAGCATTCTGCAGTACCTTCTTGAGCACTGAAATGTCCGTCTCTAGGGAACTAAAATTTTTCCCCATATCATCGGTCCATGTGAAAACCGTAGCCAAGCACGTCAACGACTTCGTTTTTCACTCGACTAAAGTGATCAGATTCAGTCTTGTGAAGCTGTTTTTGTGCAACACACATCTCAAACCACTGATACAACAACTCAAGTTGCACAGAAAGGGCCACAAGCTCATCAGATTGTGGAAAACCAACCAACTCCTCCAAACGTGCCACCCTTTCCCTCAGATCTGCATTCGTTCTGCCAGCCATAGTTGATCTTTTCGTCAAAACCAACGCTTTGATACCAAACTATCACGGGGTAACAACTCGTTTTTCGTTTCAAGGCTACCTGTGAAGACGTTGCTACTGTAACCAACCACTTAATCTCAAGAACAAGGGACAAAAACTCACACAGAAGGAAAACATGAATTTATTGGAACAACACTCCCAAATCTTATATATTGAACTCAACAATTTACAAGGAACTCTCAAAATCAGAACACTCTCTCTGACTATCAGAATGCCCAAATACTCCTATTTATACAAGATTATGGCAGATGACACCCCCATCTGCTAAAGGGTAGTTACCCACATTCTGCTATTCCATAGCAGACTTGGCTAGCAAGCTTGATCTTTGTGTAACACTTGGTAGGCAGTTCCACCCATTCAGGAACTGATGTGAAACTACCCCTCATTAGCATGCATCTGGACCAGAATCTGGCTAGGAACGCCTAGAACTGCTTCCCACAAACTAAGCCTTGTTCAGCAACTGCTTGTAACTGCCCACATCCTCCTAGTCACATGCATTGAGCAGCCATGTGCCAGTCAGATGTCCAAATTCAATAGTCAGTCTTGCCTCACGAACCATTTGCATGTTGGGTTCAGCCCATGCCATACAATTCAAAGCTATGCACCCACATTGCCTTAATTGGGTCCACCACGTGCTGCCATGTTCAGTCGGGTGGTCTCATGCTGCCACAGTCCGCACCAATCTGTCAAACCGCTTAGCTACCTTGATTCAATCTCATGGCGTGCCTTGGTGCAAGGTGCCACCAAGACCGTCATTTTGCACCCAAGTCAATTAGGGTGTGACACTTGTCCTATATATAGGCTTGTAATTTTTGCAAATAAGATTGATTGAATAGAAACTCAATATGTTTTTCATGATTCTATTCTCTGTCTTCTTCCTCTTTGAGATTCCTTGAGCGTTCCATGGTTCTATCATGGTATCAGAGCCAATAACAAGAGATTAACATCTCAATGGCTGATTCTTCTTCTACTACTCCTCAGACTTCTTCGAGTCCTAGCTCAACAGCTTCGTCGAGTACTTCAATATCACAGTCTCCAATCTTCCTTCTATCAAACATTTGAAATTTGATTTCGATTCATCCAGATTCCTCAAACTTTGTGCCATGGAAATATCTAGTCTCTGCAATTTTGAGAGCACATTCTCTCCTAGGTTATGTGGATGGATCAATTCCCTATCCAAAACAATTTCTTCGCAATGCTCAAGGCGTTGTAACTACAGATCTGAATCCTCTGTATCAGGCGTGGCTGACTCAAGATCAGATCCTCATTACATTGCTCAATGCAACGCTTTCACCTTCTGCTCTTACACGTGTTTGGCTACACAACCTCTCATGATATCTGAATGGCACTAGAAAGAAGATTCTCTTCTCTTACTAGAGCCAATATTCTTCAGCTCAAATCAAGTATGCAAATAGTGAAAAAAGGCTCAGATTCTATAGACATTTATGTGCAAAAGATCAAAGAGTTTCGTGACAAACTTGTAGCTGCTTCTGTTCTTGTGAAGATGAAGACATGTTAATCTACACTCAATGGTTTATCTACACAATACAATGCCTTTTGTACCTCTATCAGAACACATGAATAACCTCTTTGTCTTGAAGATTTTCATGTTCTTCTGAGAGCAGAAGAGCATTCTATTGAAGCTATGCATCAAACTACACTGGCTCCCTCAGCTATGACAACTATACAACAGAAAAATAACAATTTCTCATCAAATAACAACTTCTCATCAAATAGAGGCAGACATTCGAATAATCAAGGAAGAGGTAGAGGTCGTTGGTCTAACAATCGTGGTGGTGGTCACTACAGATCAAACAATCAAAACTATGGTTTTGATTCTCAATTCAATGGTTCATCTAGTAATTTTGATAAACACAACACAGGCAATTACACACAGTCAAACTCCTCCAGAAATTAGTCTAGACCTATCTGTCAAATCTGCAATAAAGCAGGTCATGTGGCTCCTAACTGCTAGCATCGCATGAACTTTAGTTATCAAGACAGTCATCTATCTCCAAATCTCACCACTATGGTAGCTTCTTCTGATTCTTCTATCTCCAATCCAAATATCTGGCTCACAGATTCTGGAGCAACAAATCATCTTACTTCAGACTTTGACAATTTATCATTCCCTACAGACTATGTTGGTGAGGATTTAGTCACAATTGGTAATGGACAAGGTTTACCTATCTCCCACATAAGTCAGTCTACTCTTCCCACATCTTCACACATTTTCAATTTAAGTAATGTACTTCATGCCTTCATTTTCATCCAACTTACTTTCTATCCATAAACTGTGTGCTACTAACCATTGTCAAATCACCTTTGATGAACATGAATTCTTTTATTTAGGACAAAGTCACGAGCACTCTTCTATACAAAGGAAAGAGTAATAATGGCTTATATCCCATCCAAGCTTTACCTCAGCTTTCTTCAATAGCTGCAAATCTGGGCAGTCATGTTCAACATCCACATTGGCATGATAGATTGGGACATCCATCTCATTCTATACTGCAGCTAGTTTTTTCTATTTTTCTGCCTTTTAAATCTACTTCAAATAAGTCTTGTAATTGTGAACATTGCATTTTTGGCAAAATGTCTAAGCAGTCATTTCCTATTTCACACACAGTTTCACTCTTCCCTTTGGAATTAATGCACACAAATGTATGAGGTCCTGCTCCTGAACTTTCTTACAATGGCTATAGATACTATATTTCTTTTACAGACAATTACTCCAAATTCACTTGGATGTATCCTCTTGCTCAAAAATCTGATGTTTACCAGATAATTTGTCAGTGTAAGCCTTATATTGAAAACTTCTTCAGTCATAAAATCAAAAAGATTATATATCTGATGGAGGTGGTGAGTTTGTCGGTCATCCTTTAAAGTGTTTTTTGCAGCACTTTGGTATTTCTCATAAAAATCTTGTCCTCACACTCCTAAGCAAAATGAAGTTGCTGAGAAAAAACACAGGCATATATTAGAAACTGTTGTTTCTCTCGTGTCTAAGGCCTCAGTTCCACTCAAATTTTGGGTTCATGCTTTTTTCACAGCAGTCTATCAATCACTTCTAATAAATCTCCCTTTGAACTTCTTTTTGGCACTAAACCTGATTACCAGTTTCTCAAGGTTTTTGGCTGCTCCTGTTTTTCTCTACTTAGACCTTATAATTCTCATAAACTCCAGCCTAAATCTAAGCTTTGTGTTTTCCTTGGGTATACAGCAGATTATAAAGGTTACTTTTGTTATCATATTCCCATATAGAGGATGTATATCTCTAGGCATGTACTATTTGATGAAACAACATTTCCCTTTGCTAATGTTTCATCCTCCTCTTCCCCTCCATCTCACACATCTTCAGTTTTGTGTTCTGTTCCTCTTTATTTTTATAATCAGCCCTAAGCATCTTCTCCCCTTATTACTCCTCTGTCTTTTGTACCTATTTCTTCTTCACCAAATCAAACACCTATCACTACTCAGACTTCTACATCCACTGAGTCTTTACCATCTTCAGATCCTATGCCCTCTTCAGTTCCAGCTGCTCCACCATTACCCACACCTGCATAACCTCCTCCCTTAGTTAATACTCAACCCATGCAAACCAGATCCGAGCATGGTATTTCCAAGAAGAAAGTCTTCCTTGCTACTGCTCCTAAGCCTCCTATGACTGAACCAACCTCTTATACAATTGCTGTCAAATCTCCAGAATGGAGAAAACCCATGTCTAAAGAGTTTTCAACCTTGCAGCAACAGGGCACCTAGTCTTTGGTTCCCCCTCTCCTAATCAGAATCTTATAGGTTCTAAATGGGATTATAGAATAAAGTACAATGCAAATGGCTCCATTGCAAGATACAAAGCCAGACTAGTGGCTAAAGGTTATCACCAAGAACCAAGAATTGACTATAATGAGACTTTTAGTCCTGTAGTTAAGCATTCCACAGTCAAGGTTATTTTGTATTTGGCTGCTACATATGGCAGGAAACTATAACAAATGGATGTCAAAAATGCTTTTTTTGCATGGCACTTTAAAGAAAGATGTGTATATAGCTCAACCTCCTGGTTTTCTTGATCAAACAACACCTAATTATGTTTGCTAATTACACAAATCCATTTATGGACTCAATCAAGCTCCGAGAGCTTAGTTTGAGAGGTTCACATCTCATCTCTACACCTGTGACACTCATGCTTCAATAGCAGATCCATCTTTGTTTGTTAGAAAGAATGGATCATCTCTTACATTGCTGCTTCTTTTCGTAGATGACATCATTCTCACTGGGAATGATCCTTCATACATCCAGAATCTTGTTTCTTACCAGCATACAGAGTTTGAAATGAAGGACTTAGGTCCTCTTCATTTCTTTCTAGGATTGGAGATTAAACACACATCTACCGGACTGTTTATCAATCAAGAGAAGTATACTAAGGATCTTCTTCACAAGACAAACATGTCTACTTGCAAAAGTTGTAAAACTCCATGTGTTTCTGCTACAAGACTAAGGAAAACAGATGATACATTGCTTCCTGATCCTACAGTTTATAGAAGTGTTGTGGGAGCACTTCAGTACTTAACTTTTACCGGACCAAACATTCAGTTTGCCATAAATTATACCTGTCAATTCATTCAATGTCCAACTGATGTCCACTATGCAGCAGTCAAGAGGATCCTTAGATATCATCAAGGCACTTCATCCTATGGTCTTACTTGTGTAAAGAGCAATCTTTCTCTTACAGCATATGCAGATGCTGATTAGGCTGGAGATCCACTAGATAGAAGATCAACAACTGGCTTTATAGTATATCTGGGCAACAATCTTATTCATTGGGCTACCAAAAACAATCCACAATGACTAGGTCCTCTAATGAAGTAGAATATAGGTCCTTGAATTCCACTGCTGCAGAATTATCTTGGTTATGAACTTTGCTCTGTGATCTTCATGTTTATCTTCCCACAGTTCCTAAACTTTGGTGTGACAATATATCAGTCATGGCCTTGGCTTCAAATCCTGTGTTTCATGTCAGGTCCAAGCATATTGCTATTGACTTTCATTACATTCGAGAGAAGGTGGTACGCAAAGATTTATCAATTCATTATGTTTCAACACAGGATCAAATTGCAGATGTGTTCACCAAGGGTCTTACTACTGCTAACTTCATCGAGTTCAGGGACAAACTCAGGGTTGAGGGAGGTTCATAACACATAGCAAGATTACAGAAGTTAGTTAGTATTCTGTTAGGTTGTTAAGTCTGTTAAGAGTAAGAAATGCTGAGCTAGAACTCAACTACATTGTTGTATGATGAGGTATAGCTTGTCCTATATATAGGCTTGTAATCTTTGCAAATAAGATTGATTGAATAGAAACTCAAAATATGTTTTTCCTGATTCTGTTCGCCGTCTTCTTTCTCTCTCAGATTCCTTGAGTTTTCCTTAATTCTATCAATATTTTCCCTTCCTTAGGTTCTAAAAAATATTATGCATAGACAATTTACTTAGTGCATTTGAAAGACCAATAAATTGATATTTAATAGCCAAATGGGGATGTAAGCCATGAATGGTTTTATAAGTGACGATATTTGATTGAATGATTTGATGATCAATATAAGTTAAAAAAAGTGCAAAATCTTACAAAACTAGATTATAAATGTGGTTTATATCAAAAGGTAACATGTTGACTCACCACTCAATTTTATCTTACCTTATGAAACTATTATTTGTGAAGACAAATTATTTTCAAGTAATTACATAATATTAGAATGAGGAAATGAAAAGATCATGACCCTGTCACAAACTATTTTTTCAAGATGGTAAGAACTGATATCTTTAGATTTTATGACCAATACTAATTTTTACAATTGTATTATATGAAAGTTAGTTTTGATAGATTTTGTATGACGGTTTATTTAGTTAATAAAAATTTTATCTATATCATTGTTTGAACTTTTTTGGGATAGAATCCTGATTCCATCCCTAGTTTACAGCAAAAGGTTATCACCTAAAACTACATGTACAGATATAAATTGAAGGTGATAGAATAAATTGTAAGGGTTAACTACAAAGAGCCTTCTCGTATGTTGGACTAGGGTGGTTAGTCAAACGAGCTCGAGCCAAGTTCAAACCGAGCTTGAAAAGTTTGTTTCTTAATTGAATCTAAAAAATTGTTCAAATTCGACTCGTTTAGGAAACGAGCCAAGCCTGAACAAGCCAAAAACAAGTCAACCCCGAGCCGAACTCGAGTATTTACACATAAACGAGTCGAGCCTGTTGAGTTTGAGCCGAACTTGTAAGGCTTGTTTTCTAAATAAACTTAAAAACTTGTTCAAATTTGAGCTCGTTTAAAAAACAAATCAAACTTGAACGAGTCAAACTCGAGCCTAAACGAGTCGAACTCGAGCCGAACTCAAGCCCAGTTCGAGTAGCTCAGTTTGATTAACACCCAATTTTGAACTAATCACACTTCACCTCCAGCTTTTATTTGTGATACTAAGCATCCTTAAATGCATAGGTAAAACTAAAAAATGTGACAACTTTTGCTCACAAAAATAGATCACGTAATTGGGCTGCCCATTTTTAAAAATAATTTTATGGTATAAAATGGGAAATATACCCACTCTTTTCTACATCAGTTCCTTCTTCATCTTTTATTGTCTTTTGCCCACTCACTACAAATCCCACCTCTAACTACCATCACCATGGGCATTAGTCATTAACTTCACCATATTGGTTGAGAAGTTGGATATGACAATGGTAGCTTGTGAGTATGGTTACTCTTTTATCAATTTTCTTGCAAAAACAAAGAAAAATTGTGGGAAAAATGGTTGTCTTTTTGTGTCATTGGTTTTTCCATAAATTTTGCTTCTTTAGTAACTTCTTGAGTAGGGTTTTATGTAGTTTCATGCAGGACGTGGACGTGGGAAGACGGGCTTTACAAAGTAAGATGTGTTTTTTTGGAAGGTTTGGTACTGCGTTCCACAAAATGTCCATTAAGTTGTATAACTATGTAGAAGGGTGGATATAGATGTTAACACACTGCTCATTGTCCTACTCATATAACTCCACTCTTTTCTTTTTCCTTCTTCACCAATCAACCACCCGTTTCTGAATTTGCAAATGATCACTTCGACACAAGTCTCTCCAGCTCTCTCTCTCTTTCTCTCAACAAGCGCACACAATTTCTCCTCCCCATTGTTCTGCCTCTCCAAACATCTCTATATCATGTTCTTGGGGTTTTTTTTCTTTTATCCAAGGGATTTTTTGCAAAATTCTGCAATCAAAATATAAACGAGGTGAAGTGTAACCAGCCCAAAGTACAGGGTGTTCTTTGTAATTAATCTAGATGTTTATGTTATTGCACTTCTAAACAAACTTATGCATATTTAAGTGGCACATAACTAAGATTGAGGAAAAAAAACAGCCTATCACAATAAAAAAAAATTAATAAGGCATGCACCACAACATAGAAGTAGAACCCAGTTACCAAAAGCATAATTATCTGATAAAATATTGATGAACGGAACTAAATCTTGAGATGAAATGAAAAAACAAATTCAAAATCAAAATTCTTCAGAGAAACCAAACAAATGCACTACTTTGGAATTGTATCATGATAATTAGCATTAAGTATAGTAGAATTACCAGTGTAGAAGACCCAACCGACAGGCCTTTTGGTGAGAACGTCTTCGTAGTACCAAATGAAGTCGAGCTTCTCCCAGACATTGCAGAGGAAGCCATCCACTTGTCGCTGACCCAGATAGTTGGCCCCGTGGAGCCAATTAGGTCGAAGAATCCCAACCTCCAGCTGTGCGGACCTACACGTTTGGGTGGAGCCCAAAGTGTAGAAGAAAGAAGTGCCGTTGTTCCATTCGAGATCGTAGAGAAGTTTGCCCAGCTGGTCCTGTATGATATTGAAGTTGCGACCGTTTGGCCAGTCGTACCACAGATCGATGATGCTGAGAGCTCCGCTGTAGTTGACGAAGAGAATGGAGTGGAATTGGTGGGGCCACGGGGTCGGAGTTGGGTCTGTTGCTGCGGTGGTTGAATGGGATGGCGATGCCAACAGCACCGGAGATGAGAGTGATGAAGCGGCGGCGAGTGTGAAGAGGAGGAGAAGTTGAATAGTAATGATGATGATGATTGGTTTGGTTGAAAATGTCATCCTCCTCCTGCTGTTACTTTTTTTTTTTTTCTCCTCTTCTCGTCTTTCTACTCTTAAATATAGACGGGAACGTGACGAGTGTCCTTATGTCGATAAGGATAAGTAGCAGCTATTGAATTAAAATCAAATAGCTTCCCAACCTCAAAAATTAATCTAATGATTCTAATAAACTCATATTATTTGATTAATTTTTTAACTTTTCATAACATTATTTTATTATATTAGAGGCTGTATAATTACTTCCTACGTTCATAAATATTTATTATTTTACATAATTTTTTTTGTTCCATAATATCTGTCGTAAATAAAACCAAAGCATAATTAATATTTTTTCTTCCAAATTTATCTTTAATTTTTCAATGCATTAGATTATGTGAAAACTAAGTGTCTATCATATTCCTTTCCTTCTCAATACATATTGAATAAGGGTATTTTAGTTTGTACAATTATTTTTTACTCATATTAAAGCTATTTAATAACTTCTTTAATCCCTGTGTAAAAACTTTAAACAACAGATATTTAAGAACAAATGAAGTATAATTTATATCTTTTTTTATTTTTAAATTTTTTTTCTATATTATTATTATTATTATTTGATCAAAATTCTATATTATTATTTGAGAAGCTAAATAAATAATTATAAAAAAATTCTGGGTGATAAAAATAAAATTTTTGAATAAACTTGAAAAATTAGTGGTTAATTATTAGTATGTTAAGGAGCAGTTACAAATGAGACATGGTAACATCTGATTGGAGGATTCTAAATTAAAAAAAAAATTATAAGAATTTAAAAAGACAAAAAATGAGGGAAGCCTCTCACAACAACATGCCTCCTTGCATGCTTCTTTTAAATGCCCTTTTTTTATGTTATCACTAAGAGATGCTAGATGTTTTAATTTTGATCAGAGTTATGCAATCCAGCTTAAGTACTGGTTCTGTTTATTTTAACTATTTTTCTAATCTTTCTGTATCTTTAACAGATAAGAATATTTTATATATTTTAACATGTAATATTAAAATTTATGGCTGCAATTATGAAGATGACACATATATAATTGTATTTGCTTATAAAATATATTATAAAGTCATAAACACTTTATGTCCTAAAACTAAACTTTTTAACCTTAAAGGTCAAACAACTTTAATTGAAACAAACACAGTTAAAAATAAAATTGAAGTCCCTAAAATTATTAAATGGTTAGAAAATACAATTTTCAGCAACCTGGTAATTGGAGTCTATGATTCCTAAAAAACTATAAATAAATAAAGAAATAACTCAGATCGCACAATCATTCCAAGGTGATGTTACGATAAAATTTGTTAGAACTAATTCTAGAAATTATTTAAAATCTTTTGACAAATCAGAAACTTCATCGGGGTATAATAGCCATTTTCGAAGATCTACTTCTTCGACCCAAAATCGAAGAAGAGATAAATAACTCATAATTAAAGGAATTAAAATTTCAAGAAATAATATTCCAGATGGTATATATAGACCAGATAATAAATCTTCCTCCTTACGGGGAAGAAAATGTTGATCCAACCCCATCCGAAATCGGATTCCAACTATAGTTTCTATGGATTTACACCCAAGAGAATTACAGTTGATAAAGGAAACCTGTAATAAAAAATTGTATTTTTCTAAATATGAAGAATTTAAAAATTAGTATTCTAAAACAATGAGTTCGGAAAAACTTCAAAATTATAAAAAAATGTTTTATCTTTATATAAAAAGGGAAAAAAGGATAATTTCTTTTGTTAATTAGTTTTTGAACTATTATGTTCCTCCTACTGAAGAGCATTTAAATGTGATAGAAATCTTTCAACATAAATGGAAAATGATAGATGGAAAAATTATAAATAGTTTTTATCCACCAACAAGGGAATCAGTAAAATTACATCTAAATAACTCTGACGAAATCTTTATAAATGCTTGTTAAACAGGCAACACTATTTCCATAAAACAAAATAATTATACTAATATTTGTCTACAAGCTATAGGCCAACACTTGACTAAAATTGAGAACTTAATAAATTCACAACAAGTCTCGTCCTCACAATCCCTTAAGGATAATGATTTTGAACAAGTCAATATCAAACCACAAGTTGATACTTCTACCTTTAATCTTCATAATAAAGTTGAAGATGAGTTCATAAATGCACTCAAAAAGAAATTAAAAGGATTGTCATTAAATGTAATTTCTAAAACAAAAGGTGAAAAGCAATCTGAAACTGAAATTCAACAATTTGAAGATTCTCTACACCAAATACAATCTGAAGAAATAAATAAAATTAGATTTTCTAAACCAAAATCTCAAACTAATATACATGCACAAGCCCCTCCAATGTGAACTTATTATCAACGAACAACACCTCAAGATATTTTATATGAAATATTTTTTTTATTGATCAACAAGGATATGATGCCTCTTCAATTTATGAATAGAATATTGATGGCATGTCTGAATATGTAATTCACCAAGTCTTATATAAAATTTTAATTTATGCTTCAAAATATAAAGCTAATCGTAATTCTGATCATGCTATTGTTATATTTATTACCACAAGATTTACAGGTCAATTAAGAGGCTTGTGGGATAACTATTTAAATCAAGTTCAAAGAAATGAAATATTAAATGCAGTCGAGATAACAACAACAGAAAATGGAAGTATAATTATTCAAGAAGATGTTGTATACACCTTAGTACAAACCATATTAAAACATTTTGTTGGATCCAGTTTTCAAAATACTGACAAAAGTAAAGAACTTTTAATGAATTTAAGGTGTCCCGCCATAACACATTTTAGGTGGTATAAGGATGTATTTTTAGGTAAAGTTTTATTACGTTCAGATGCTAATAATAAATTTTAGAAAGAAAATTTTATATCAGGATTACCCAGCTTATTTGCTGAAAAAATTAGAATTCGCTTAAAGCAAAAACATGGAGGATTTAAAATCCCTTATGAAAATTAATTTTTATGGGGAACTAATTTCTGAATGTATTTCAGAAAGATTAACTCTTTGTAATGATTTAAATCTTAAAGCTCAACTTAAGAGACAGATTAACTGACAGAAAAGAACTTGAAAAATTTTGTAATCAGTTCACTTATAATTTAGATATCTCAAAAGATAAGGTTTCTAGTTAAAGAAAACTTTACACTAAGCCTTATAAAAAAGGTAGAAAACTCTATAAAAAGAGTTTTATTAACGAACAAGAAAAGATTCATAAACCCACTAAAAAATCTAAAAAACCTCTTCTTAAATGTTTTAAGTGTGAAAAAGAATGTCATATTGCTTCAAAATGTTTAACTAAATAACAGATTAATGACTTAATTAATAATGAGGACCTTAAAGAAAAGATCTTTAAAATTGTTTTAAACTCAAAAAGTGAAATTGAAGACTCTTCTATTAGTTAATTCTCTGATGAAGATCCTAATATTAATGAAATTAGTAACCCATCCTCAGATTTTGAAAATCCCAAACAAGATAAAGCTTGTTCTTCACATTGTAAAACAGAAAACAATTATTATAAAACTATTTTAGCTATGAATGGGTTAAGTATAAATACTTTAACTAAGTTACAAACATTTATTCTTGATCTTATAGATAAAATTCACGATCTAGATTCTAAATCTAACCCCATAATAAATCTTCCTCCTTACAGGAAGAAGACTTTGATCCAACCCCATCCGAAATCGGATTACAACTATAGTTTTTATAGATTTACACCCAAGAGAATTACAGTTGATAAAATGAAACCTGTAATAAATAATTTTATCTTCCTAAATATGAAGAATTTAGAAATTGATATTTTAAAATAATGAGTTCGGAAGAACTTCAAAATTATAAAGAAATATTTTAACTTTATAAAAAAAGGGAAAACAAGGATAATTACTTTTGTTAATTAGTTTTTGAACTATTATGTTCCATCTGATACTAAGAAGTTAAATGAAGTAAAAAATTACTTTCCAGATATTGAAGAAGTCGAGTTTATAAATGAACTCAAAAAAAATTAAACAACATTTTTTAAACATATAAACCTGAAACTCAACAAATTAATAAATTAATTAATGACAAACTACAAGATAAAGTTTTAACTATTGCATCTCTAGAAGAAAATTCAAACCAACTTTTCAATAAAAGGAAGAATAATAAAGACGAAGTCAATAACGAAAGACAGCTTACCAAACCCACTAATTCATTTAAAGAAAAAGACAAAATGTCTATTAAATGCTTTAAATGTGAAAAAATTGGACATGTTGCATCTACATGCTACTATAAAAAGTTATTTTAGCTATGAAAAAATTAAGTATAAATACTTTGACTAAGTCACAAACATTTATTCTTGATCTTATAGATAAAATTCAAGATTCAGATTCTAAAAAAAAAGCTATTGAAAATATTTATAGATAAATCTAGAAGAAAAGGGACCTAATTTGTCTCAATTGTATTCCTTAAAAGAAGTTTTTAATAGAACTGAAAATGACATGAGTGATAACCCACTCCATATAAAGGAAGTCTTACCTACTACAGTTCAAGATCTAAAGGAAGAAACTCACCATGTTAAAGAAGATATAAAAGTCATAAATGTTATCTCTTAGCTTTAGAAAAATTGCCACTTAAAGAAAGTGACATAAAGAATGATACAGCATCACCATCAAACTCTTCAAATAATTAACACTTAAATGTATTAGAAAAAATAACTTATCAAAAATGGTAGGTCAAAATCATATTAGTTACAAATTCTAAATTTACTGTCGAAACTATTGTTTTAATTGACAGTGGAGCAGATATGAATTTCATAAAAGCAGAATTAATTCTGACTAAATATTTTGAGAAAACTACTCAGTCAGTAAACACTATTGATCGTTCAAAATTAAATATAAAATTTAAACTTTATAATATTTTTGGATGTAACCGAGAAATTTGTATTCCTATATGCTTATTAATAATTTAAATCAATTGGTGATTTTAGGAACACCATTCATATCTTTAATCGAACCTGAACTGATTTTAAAGGAATTTTGACTATCATAAATAGTCAACATATA